AAAAAAAAAAAAAAAAGGAAGAAAAATAAGAGTCGGGATTTTAATAAAAGCTAACCAGAAACAAGACAGGAAGCAAATAAAAAGTATGTTTTGTTCCAAACAAAAAAGTCTCTTGTAACTGTGACATATTATTTCACAACAGTGACTAAATCATTGTGAACTACTTCAGATGAGTCTGATCTGTTGCTCCATACTGTACAAAGAAATATTTAAAAGAAAAAGAAAAAAACCCTTTTAAGAACAGAATGGGTTTTATCCAATTACATTCAGAAGGGATTTTAATTTGATCAACTCCAGGGAGTCTGTGATATTAGGCTAGTTTTAACTTTATTCATCCACYCAATGCAATTTCTCTTAGAAATCCACCATCAAGCTATAAACATTTTCAAATGTCCTTTAGGCAAATTTTGGAGAAGAAATAAAAACAACACTATGAACCATTTTGCTTCAAATAAATGAACTTCTGGTTGACTTAGTACGGAGGAAACCGGGATAGGGATTTATGTGCACCTCTGACAAAAATAAAGTCTGGAATAAAATMACATCAAGCTAAAAATGAGAGTAAGCAATAAAAGCCGACCTCTTTTAAAGGGCTGGTATCCTGTCTAGTTAATTAAATTAAGGCCTTGGTCTTTATCTGAGGTAATACATGAAGTTTTTTTTTTCCCTATCTCATGGTTTCCAGCGACATTTTACTTTCATCTTAGCTCTTGTTCTGACCTGGAAGGAGCCCACAGCCCCACTTGCGAGGRGCTCAGGGACGTTACGTCGAGATAGGCCATTACCATCCATCAGTCCCCACCCACAGTTAATGCTTTTAAGATGCAGTGAGAGGTCCACTAAGACCTGATGTTGCCCCCAGAAGGGGCAGATGGTGCAGATGAGGTTATAATAAATGGGAAAATGACCAAGAGAAGGCAAAAATGATGAAGCTCTTAGTTTCACTTAGTAAAATACATCAGCTGAAAAGACAGCAATCCCAACCCTGAAGTAAGTGCCTAACTGGTATAGTGAAGGGAGAAGGGAAAAGCTTTCTCGCACATTAGACCGGTAAGATGTAGAGGTCAGACAAGGGTTGAAAAAAGGAGAGTGACATATGAAATCAAGAGTTAGGAACACTAAAACAAGAATAACATGAAAAGAGGAGGGGGAAAGAGCTTCCTGTGTGCCTCTGCTGCCCTACATTGTCTAATGAAATCCATCCAACTCGGCTGCTCTTCAGCCTGCGACAAATGCAGAACACTTAATGGCTGAGATGCTTGAGATGAATTCTATTATGGAGCAAATTAAAAACCTTGCCTTGCGTATAGAGAGAAGAGGCAGTTCGAGAGACCAAAGCATTTGAAAGTAGGTGATGCAGTGTCCATCTGGCTCCGCTTGTCTTTCCTTTCCCTCTTTCCTGAGTGTAAGACAAAGCCTGCCCTCACCTGCAGTAATGAAGCTGAGTTTGTGCACTGAATTAGCCTCCTGCACTTCATTAAATACAAGCAGTGGATCAAACACACGTTTCCCAGGCTTTGGAACCCTGCCATGCTCACATTAATTTTTATAGGGGCTCCATCTGTGATTGTCCTTCAGTGGCATTAGCAGCTTGAATTCCCTCAGAATTTTCCTGGATCTTTCTTTACAACACAAACACGCACACACACAGGAAACGTCTACACACACCTCTGCTAGTGTTCCTTCCCGCCCTTCATAAGCAAACACTGAGAAGAAAGTTCAGTTCCCACTGACAGAACACTCACTTTCTAAGAGTTTTTCCCCACACATTTTTAAGGCTAAATCTCCTATCAGAATAACAAATTAATTAGGCCCTCTTGTCCCGGACCAATATAGTTACTGTGTGATAATCAGGACGTGAAGACTGATATAATTCCTTTCATGTCTTGTCTTTCATTTGTGCAGGAAATGACATAATAAACTTATCGAAATGGAGTATAATTAACTGTAAGAAGAAAACGTGCTTAAGATAAAGAACATTATAAGCTACGCACAAACCAATCAAATAGCAAAGAAGAGATGATATTGGAGGGGTGGATATTTTTCAAATGTCCTTTTCTCCCTCTTTTAGGAAGTAAAACAGTTGCTCTTTTTGAAGATAACACAGATCAGAAGAGGAAGGTTTACACTTTCAAAATGACACAACGTTTGGGGAAGGTCAGAGTATGCGATGCATGCATTACCAGCTTTTCCCTCCTATGAAATCTGAAAAAAAAAAAAAGCCTCACAGGCTGGGACGTCTCAAAGAGCACAGAGAACAGGTAGAAAACTTCAAGAGCCACAGTCCAAACTGAGAGAAGCAATATAGAGAGGCAGCAGATACACTGCAGGAGCTTTCAGGGTTTGAAGTTGGCAAAGCAGCAAGTTGAAAGGACTAAAGGAAAGGCCCTCTTTCCTCTGAAGACCCATAGTAATAAGACAATAACAGACGAAGGAGAGCTTCCTTATAGTGGTGCTGTCTAACTCTGATCACTATATCCACATCAGCAAACACAGCTACATATTTAGCTTCTAAATAAGAACTCTTCTAATGAGTTGTTCTTTTGAAGCAGGGATCAGGCAGGGAGATGTGTTACTATAAGAAAAAGGAAGAATTTCATGCAAAAGCTCAATAAGAATATGCATTGTTAATAGTAATGTTTCAATTAGAAAGAAAAATGAAAAAAAATCTGTTACATATTCGTGCAGCTGTAATCGTATGTGCAGAAACGAGAAGTGGATGAAAGACAAGCACAACTTGAAACTTTGTTAAATCTGTCATTTAGCATGGATATGTCATTTTGCTTCATAAAAACAAAGTCGTCTATTTAGGCTCAATATTTTTTGAAGAGGTTATAACTGTTTCGTCCCCTTTAACGCTCATATCAAGACGGTACTAACAGCGTTCTGAATAATTTATGCAGACAGTTGCAAAGTAACAACTAGCAAAATAATAATAATAATAATAATAATAATAATAATAACAATAACAATAATAAATAAAAAACTGACCTGCTGCTTTTTCTGAAGGTAGAATTAGCATCAACAGCAAGCCAGACTTCCCCACCAGGTGTGTTCATAGGCCAAATGTGCAAAGTGAGCACCGTGTCTGCAGCTCCACAGGATGTGAGAGAGATGGGTTAAAATAATCTGTCAAGGTGTTTTATATGTGTGAATACCAGTCTGTATAGGTGACCAGCACATTTTTTTCTCTGAAGAGAGAAAAGGGCATCACCATGGGTGACCCAACTAGGCACGGTAAAGCCTCTAGAGTGAGCATTATCCCTTAAAGCTCCTAAAATACAAAGAAAATATTTTATACATATAATCTGGACATCATTCAGAAGCTGAGGGGTATTACAATAAATAATAATGAAATATACTCACTACCAAAAACAAAAGGTGCCAAAAAAATTCTAATTTGAATGCAATTTGATCCACAGGCAAACTAATAGTAAATAATTCAATTTGCAACTCTAGACATATAGAAAAAAAAACAGGCAAAGGGGGTGGCATTACAAGTGTAAAGATTGTGTTATCAGGCAGTTGCCAGAGCTTCTTCTAGTCAGTTAACTCAATGATTAAATACACAAAATGCCAAAAAGAAAAAAAATGTATAGGTCTTCTGGACGGGTTCTTCTTTAATTAAACGTTTTGTTAATGAAACATTTCGAGTGATACTGGCTATACCAGTATCACACCACCCCCTGTTAACAATAGGTGTTAATTAGGTGTCAACGATAGCCATGTGATATGAGTATCAGTCACGAGGCAGGGCTTAAAAGCCTGAATTTTGRCTGAAACTCTCAGACTGAAGAAGTCTCTTGGAGGAGAGACGAAACGTTTCATTAGAGAAGAACCTGTCCGGAAGACCCATACAATTTTTTTTCTTTTTGATTTTTTACCTGGATTACTGAGATGTATCAGGATACACAAAATGCCTTGTAGACACATTAGACAACTTTTACAAAAACTTGGCAGGGTTTAGTAAAAGCCATGCCGTGGGTCATATGGTTCAGAATACCTCCAAGTGGGTCTATAGATGTCACTGTAGTCCAGTGTTAGACCCAAAGACTTCATGGAATCATGACCYAACGGGTCTGCCTTCTACTGTGTGTATCAGCTTTAACATCACCACAGTGCAGATCTGCTGAAGCTCGTTAGGCCAACTTGCCACATGAAAGGAAACGTTGGCTGCTTTTAATTTTACATACCACCTTCAGCAGCTTTAGAAGCATTAACAGACGTCCTCATCCTGCGGCAAACATCACCGCTAACTGCTGCTAACACTTCTAACGCTGCTGAAGATGGCATTTAAATTTTAAATTCAAAGTGTGTTCATTGGAAACAATATGGATGGTAGATTGTCCAGCAGTTTCAAGTGAAYCTTGGATATTGGCTGAAACTTCAAGTTTGATGTCTTATTGGGAGACATTAGCAGCATTAGCAGTGTTAGCAGTGTTAGCAACATTAGCTATTGCCTCAGGATGATGATCTATGTTCCATTCTGAAACTCAAATGCAAACTTCAACATTTAAGATTAATTTAGATTTAGGATTTAATATTTAGATATTTTTTTTACGTTTGAATTCAACATTTAGTAAAAAATTAGTAAACAAATAAGAACAGTGAGCTAAATAAGGAAATGTTTGTGGAAATTTTTAACACTCAGAAAGTGAACTAAATAATGAAAATGTGTTAGCGATTTTTTTACAGTTTATTTTACACTTGGTGCCCCATATAAAGTTTCATTTATTTACACCACTCTGTCAAGTTTTTTTATTAGTTTGTGTAATAATAATAAAAACAATAGTATCCTAAAGAGCATTCAAAGGAAACACTGACTCATGTGGAGTCAATAATATTAAAACATTTAGGATGTACCATAAAGTGCAACACCACTAACAGTCTCTTACTAAGTGAATTACTAAGTTAAACCTTACGAGACATTGTGTGGTCATTTGATAGATTTTGCATGTTCTGATTGCTGTGTTGAACATCATTAAAAAGGTAATTTCAAAGTCAAAAATACTTTAATTCTTAAAGAGACACATTTTGCTCCACTAGGCTTTAATTATCAGCTTTTTACTACAAACTTGTTCTTTTCTTGCTCCAACAAGACCTTGGAAGTAGCAGGCAAAAATAAAATCTGTTCATTTCTTATGTCCAGTTATTTATTATCCCTGTATGATATCTTTATTCAAGTTAGTTAGACAATGTCCCCCAAACAACTTTATATAATGCATTTGCTTGGTAATTCTTAAGGGTTCTGCTTTTACTCATTCTTGGATGAGTTTAAACAAATAAAAWAAAAACTTTTTTCCCTGTGGTAAGTGGGTTGGAGGATGAAACGGAGCTGTGTAACAAAAAAAATAAAATAAAAATAAAAACAACAACTTGAGAATAGTGTGATTTTATTTCTAATTATTAAGAAACAAAAGAGAATACAAACCTTCCTTTTCACAGACAACTCAATAGATTMTTTTAAAGTGTGTGTGTTTTGGCACACACTTGTCTCTTACAAAAGCTGAAATGTAATAACAAGGTCATTTCGTGTAGCACTTGTGTTTGCTATGTTTTTGGATCAATACCGAATGCTGAGAATTCTTTTTAGACGTCTGACTAAGCGAAAGACTTTGTGTATCTCTGAAGTAAAACACATTCTTCGTGTTCCAGAGCACCCTGTGGGTGGCAGATGCCTACTGTATGAGAACATTGAGGTTTTTTATTTTTACTGAAGCACTAACCAATTGGAGCACTGTCTCAGTTTAACACCCTGTGAATCCTTCTGATGGAACATAACAACCTTTCTCTCTCTGTTTCTGTCTCGGCTGCTCCTCTGGGGCAGTGGCCCCTAATTAGGAGCAGAGCTGCTGGATATACATTTTCCCTAACAAGGTGAAAGTAACTGAATGGGACAAGCAAAAACTAGGAGTATCAACACTCAGGCCCATCTGTCTGAGCTCTACAAGTTTGCGGGAACACGTTAAACATACAACTGAAATGACAATCTGCTGTTGTCTTGTCCTCCCTGGCAAAGCTGTGAAACGGTCCTTCTCCTGCTGCAGAATATATAAATCTATCTGCGCTCCGAAATCTCCAATTTAAACGTAGGGGCAGGCGCGTGGAAAATGAAAATGTAAATCTTACTGGGAGATGAATTTGAGGTTCGTTTGCTTTGAGGGAAGAAGAAATATTACCCAGCGCCCTTTTTCTTTTTTTTTCTTTTTTTTTTGCGTGTTTATGACCGGTATCATTTGCCTCCTATCTAATAAACCTAAACAGGCTGCAGTGAGATTTGATTCTGTTCACACTAAAACATTCAGTTTACTTTTCAGTGCTACAGCTGTCGACTCTACCTAAGGTTTTTCTCGGCGTGGTAAAAGGAGACGGAGGCAGGGAGAATGGATTTGAGCCTGAACACTTGTAGCAGAAATCATTTTGAATTAATGGCTACCTATAAATCATATCTAGGTGTTTTCGACAGAAACTTTTTACTGTTCAAATGTTGCCTCGGACTTGTTTTTGTGAGAAAGTTCTTAGAAGGGAATTTAAACCTTGTGATTAATTTTATTTTATTTACCATTATTTAACCAGGCAAGTCCCATTAGGATCTCAGATCTCTTTCTCAAGGGAGGCCTGGGCCTGAAGGCAATCTATTGAACATGTTTTTAGGGGCGGGACAAACCAGAGTATCTGGTGAAAACCCACGCAAGCACGAGGAGAACATGCAAACTCCTCACAGAAAGACCCCAGGTCCAAACTGGGGATCGAACCCTTTCTTGCTGTGAGGCGTCGGTGCTAACCACTGAGCCGTCGTGCCACCATGATGATATTATTGAGATTATAATTCATTTAAAAAGATCTGTGATTGTAAGCCTCATAATATTCCTTGAAAGAAAATATATCACTCCCCGCGTTTCATGGCAGAGTTTTAAACTAAAGTCATTGATCAATTTTAGCTCCACATCTGCAATGACTGAGTCAGACATTTGTTTTGTTTTGTTTTCTAATGTCATCTAATGATGGCAGCCATCTTGAACAAAGTTGACTTTAATTGTGTATTCACACCAGGAAAGTCCTTTGGTCCACTTGTTTGGTCCGGACCAAATAATATACTTTMTTTTCCCTTTGGTTCAGTTTGCATTCACATTGTGCTTTTTGCAAGTGGACTATAATTTATAAACAAAGCCCCGCAGGTGATGGTCATTGCTCTCATTGGACAGATATGTTGGGGGCAGGACAGAGCACGGACCAGGAAATAAAGATGGTATTAATAAAACTGACTATTAAGAATATRAAGAGCAGCTCATTCAGCCTTGGTTTTGCAATGATATGTTTATAACTTTGGAACAGCTTTGTCAAATGAGTGCCGCAACCTAAAGGAGACGAGATGCTCTGTGTTCTCTGACCCACAATGGCTAATTTTTTGTAGCGCAGTGTTYGCYTTAGCAACACTGAAGGYCTAATGTTYCTTAGCAAAAYRMGCTRGTGAAGTCCAAAAAGGTGCATGCTTCCTGTAGTTGGTTTGGTTCTAAGCCGGTCTGTATTCACACCAGAAGCGYACCGAGACCACCRCAAAAACAGGTCTTGGTCTGGTTGATCCCCACCAGGGTTTGCATATGCACACCTGCATAAAAGGTCCGGACCAATGGGGGAAATGAACTCTGGTCCGTTTAAAGTGGACCAAATATGTCAGGTGTGAATGCACCCTAAAAATTAATCAGTTGTTAGATGTACATCCAGTAATTAATTTCTGAGTGTTTCATTCAAATCAGCCCACTGGTTCTTGAGAGGTTTTGCTAATGCTGCAGTCAAATGAACACARATGCACACAAAAAACACAAGTATTATGTATTTTCTGCCTTTTGCATCTTTCACTATGTTTCGTGTTTAATTTTTTGTTTGCCATTTCTCTACATTTTGTTTATTTCCTATGACACAAATGTAAAAAGAAAAAGAAAAAAAAGCGATGGTCTAATCTCTCTGTRTTTTCCCTCTGTCATTCAGGCTCTTTGGTACAACAGGGAACTGTGCAGCCTGCAGTAAACTGATCCCAGCCTTTGAAATGGTGATGAGAGCCAGAGATAATGTTTACCATTTGGACTGTTTTGCCTGTCAGCTTTGTAACCAGAGGTAAGAATGGGGATCATAACTGCACAAGACTGCCTTAAAAAAACACATGAATGGAGCCTAATAGCCTAAATGTAAGGTGTTTTTGTCGGCAAACGACATTTTCTGTTTAATTACATTATAGCAGACCACAGCATGCAAACTTGGTTGTCTTGTTGTGCTGTTCTGCATTTGTAAAACCCTGCTAATTATTTCCACTATGACACAGTGCCAGCAGTCTGTCTTTGTTTGTGGCTAGATTGTAAATCTTTAAAGCCAGCGGGATGTAAAATTAGCTCTTGTTCTTATGTGTGAGATTTCAAAAGCTGCAGAAGTGAAGTTCTACAGAAGTTCCTTGCAGCAGAAAGGAGAGGAAAAGATCAGTGGAGGAGTAACATGGTGTCTCCAAAGGGAAAAGGTTATAGAACTGGCATGACGTACATACAATATGACATACCCAAATATTGCTTTTTCCTATTAATATATTYTCAGTAATGACACCAGTCTGAGAGTCCTTTGCATGCTTGTCAGGGGTTCTGTGACCCTGTTCCTCTACACAGCACAAGCCCATTAACCTTGTGCAGGCCAGATTCAGTTACCATAGTGAACACCTGCTGTAAGGGAATTATGACTGCAGCCTCTAGACTCAGCTGGCAGACACAAAGCCAGGCCTCATCTGGCACAGCATCGCCATGGCCGTGACTGTTACCAGCTTTATTTACCGTGTTACCAGCCTGGCGTATTACCGAAGCCAGGCTATTTTCAGCCACGTTCTTATCGTCACTCGCTTTCAGTCACATTACGGAGCTGCACACAAACAAACAGCAGCATAGAGGGGAACATCAGTCGTGTTATTTCCCCCTCTTCAATTGATTCAGACTTTAGAGAGAGGGGAAAAAATGATTMTGAACATTTCAACCAAACTGGTGTCTGAAAAGCTGACCCCGTGGCAGAGTTTCCTTGGAGACTCCCATCCGTTTGACCACAGAGAGTTGACCCGCGCCAGCGCTGGCATTTGTTTGCTTTCAAATAGGATGGGCTTTTAATCTCATTTCATTTGAAGGCTTCCAAGCAGGCTGCGAATCTGACAGACCAGCAGTCCTGATGTTCAGGATGAAAAGTGTCTCAAACCAGAGATAATCAGACTGCACCATCATTACCTGCTGTTTTCAGATTCAACATTTTCACGGCTCGAGACAAACCCACTAACACACAACCCTTTTGTCATGACGCCGGCAGGGGCCGTCTTTYTGTTCATCGCGGTAACGTCTCTTTTTGTCTTCCAACAGGTTTTGCGTCGGGGACAAGTTTTTCCTAAAAAACAACATGATTTTGTGTCAAATGGACTATGAGGAGGGCCAGCTGAACGGGAGCTTTGAGACACAGGTTCAATAGTTGGAACCTCGAGGCAGCAACAATCGGCTCTACACTTTACACACAAGATGGATGTTCTGCTGCACTTGGAACAAGACAAGCGTCCGTCTGCTTGCCTGCAATACTTTTTAAGACCCCTTTATCAGTCCCTAAGGACTCTATTGTAAATGTTCAACTTTTTGCCCCTTCCACACACACCCCACCTCCCCAAACACTGAGCAGTTACAAATTTTGATGTACAGTTGTGCCTGCTAAGCTGAGCACTGTATTGCTTGTATGTTTTGTGAAATTTGTTTCTTTTTTTTCTTTTTTTTTTTTAGTTTCTTTCTTTTAGAAATGGTTCACTGGAGGGTATGTACAGTCTGTTTTCTCTGTATATATAAACTGGAACATTTATTTTATGAAATGTAATGCAATTTTATTACTAGTGTGAATTAAAGATTCTTAAATGTTCATAGTGAGTTTATTTTTCGCCTCTTAAAGACAAAGTTATTGAGAAGTTATGTTGATATAAAAACATCAAAGAACTACCATTCGATAAGACATTATATTTAAAATTCTGTTTAAACTATAATGAATGATTTTATTACCTTTTGCTATTTTCTAACGGAATTGAAAATGTTGTTGAAAATTAACTCAAGTCGAATTTTATTTGGAAATAAAAGAATGATTCTCCAAACTGTGCTGTTGTGAACATTGCAGGTGTCATGGAAGTGAGATAGGCATGAGCTACTCTCAGTGAGTCATGCTTCACTAATTGCCATCTGATCATCAGGGTGAATTGGCCTGGAAATGAAATGCAACAGCAAATAAATTAGAGCGAAAATAAATGCTCATTGAGTTTGAGCTGACTGAAACTCATCAGCGACAGAAGCACGGGGCTGTATTTAAAAGGTACTTTTCCCAGAAGACTGCGTTAATAGAGATGCATGACAGTCTCTGTCTGATGAGGTTATTTCTGATAATCACACCAGGAATCAATGCACAGTCAAATAATTATCTTATCCGTCAAGTGATAAACCACTTCAGTGAGTTGGTGCATTATATCTAGTTGGATAAATTAACTCCTAATCTGGAAAAAGTAAGATATTGTTACCGTGATATTTTCAGAATCACTAATGCAGCTCTTATAGAGATTTTAACCCAGATTATTTTCTATAAATTAAATCAATAAATATCTACTAAATACATTTTAGTTAATTGAAATGGAAGCAAAAAGAGAGTTAATATTTTCATTAGAAAAAAGTTAAAATCCAGAGGTTCACAAAGTGTGGCCCACAGGCCAAGATTGGCCTGCCAAATCATTTAATTTGGACCAGCAGCAGTTTGTTAACAGATTATAATCTCCTGTTGTCCCATATTGAAACACTGCATTTCCACTTATAATCATTCCTCCTGTTGGTCCAATGAATTTATAAAGAAATGCAGTGCAGATAGTCTTCACTCATAGTGCATACTTTATCTTTGAATTATATTAAGATTAAACATGAAAAACATTTAAATTAGATTCAAGCATGTACATTTGCACACATTATATGATCACAAATACTCATATTTGATCAATTTATGAAATGTCCCATGAGCTTATCAAGCGTATGTCAAACTTTCTCCAAGAGCACAAGCTAAAAGCTAAATAATAATAATGATAATAATAAATTAATTAAAAAAAAACAAAAGAAGAAGAAAAAACCTGGGCCACCACACTAGCTGCTAGCTTAATCATAAAACATTAAAAGGTTTTTACTTAAAAAGTATTTGCATTTCAAGTATTGTACTTTTGTACCTGCCCAGGGTGTACCCCACCCCTCACAGTGTAGCTGCTGGATATGGGCACCAGTCACCCCAGTGACCCTGAAAGGAATAAGCAGGTATAGATAATGGATGGATACTTTTGCATTTGGCCCAGGACTCTTGGATAGATTTTCATTTTGGCCCTTTCATGGAAATGTTTGGGCCCCCCGGTATAAACACTCCTTGAACGCCCAGAGTGAAGTGTATGAGAGGCCCTTTAGGCCATAATTCAAACTTTCTCTCACACATACTATCAAACCCTCTCACACATATGGCCTAAAGGGCCTCTCATAGAAATGTGTTGCTGCTTATAAACATGATGACAAGAAATCAAATGAAATGAAAAAAATTATCAGTTGTTTTTAAACCAACAGAAACCAAGTTTGACATGCTGATAGGGGTAGCTTTATTTTACCACTGTTCACATTTTGCAGCTGGGTTTCCCACAGTTTAAGACCGCTGATGGGCTGTGCTGCTTTGATATTCACTAAGACAAGCTAACAGGAGCAGTGACAGCCCACCAGTGGACAACTCATCCCACAAAACACTGTCAAGTCAGATCTGAGATGTCTTTGTCCACAGTGTTAGCAGAATTCATGTTGGGACCATGGATAGTTAAAATCAACCAATTGTTATGCCACTGAGCAAGGCAGTTACAGAACTGAAGCAGCTGGTATGTGTAGGGAAAGGTTGACATTGTGCCTCAAAGGTACAATGTGATGACATAATTAAACAGGACAACTCATGCAGAAAACTTCATGTTTGGCAGAAGCATAATATGTTAGTCAGAAATTTTTTTTTTGACAGGAATGTTTATTGTGTTGCAGTAGCATTTGTACAAACAAAAGGAAAAACATTTAATTTTTGGATTGTTTATTTCTGCTCAGTAACACGATATACACCACGCAAATCTCGATAGATGTTTAAAAAACACTTTTTGCATTTGTACCAACACCTGTGGGAAACTGTGGAATCATTTCTTTCTCCCAATGCCATGTACTTTATGTGAGAGACAGAACTTAAACATAAAATCAATGCTTAAAGCTTAGATGTGCTAAAAACTATAGCTGCTCAGAGCCTCAAACACATTTGCACAATCCCAAAGCGGGGAAAAGGCAGAGCCAACGGTCACAAATATAACTAAATTTTCTGCATTTATAACACTTTTTCTTGTCTTGCCGCATACTTAATGCTTTTCAAAGCCATGTTTGCTTATTATTATACATTTATATTATAGTTGTTGTATTTTTTACTTTATAAATTAATGATATATTTCTACTTTATCTTCCACTTTCACATGTGGACTTAGGATGTTGAACTTCAAACATGAAATCACCTTATTAGGAAATAACAGCTTGAACTCTTGAGCCTCAGCTTTCTCTCTGTATGAATGAATGTGCTGTCAGGAGTATAGAAAATAACTTTTAAAATGTTTAATGGTCATTACTTATTATAACCCTGTTACTATTCACCACAGAGTCCAGCCTTAAGGAAAAAAAAAGTCAGATTTCAGCCCAGGTGTGACATTCTGTAGGCGCTTTCCTACCAGCAGGACACAGAACAACAATATAATTCGCTAACACATAAATGAGGTGTGCAAAGAGCATTAATTAGAAATTCATTAAAAATTCAGACTCACTGGCAGGTGTGCAAATAAAGGATTAGGCCGACATCAATTATACCACATAAGAGAACATTTTAATTGCAATTCCTGAACTGATTTACAGAGGGAAACAATCAGGCTTCATGCAATATGCCTGATTGCTCATTTCCCTGAAAAATAATGAGGAAAAATCTCACCAGGTAACACTGTCTCTCACTTTACACGGACAAGCATTCAGAGCTGTGTGTGTGTGTGTGTGTGTGTGTGTGTGTGTGTGTGTGTGTGTGTGTGTGTGTGTGTG